ATTCAGTTTCAGGACACCTGCACTATATCTATGTTTTGAAAATTGCTGATGGATGAAGAAAAATTCAGTTTTGGATCTTGGTCCCTAATCCTGAAGGAAATACAGCTGTTTTGTGAAGGAGTATCTTTTTGCTTTAATGACAGGGCCTGCAGAGTCTTCTAGTGCAGGGCAAACAAAGTATGCAGCATTCAGTGTTGGAAGGGTTATGTTAAGGGCTTGGGGATTAACGCCAGCCAAAATGTTTATTTTAGCTTTGAATAAAATGGTTATGGATTAGAACCTCTTGCTAGGTTTTTATTGCTGTTAGTGAGCCCATTGAGGAGATTTCCACTCACCATCTGTTCTTGTGGCACCAGAAAAATGAAATTAGGGGCATGAGCATCACTGGGACACAGAGATACTAAAAACATGTTTTACTTGATGTCTCTGTTCCTATTAGAAGGACATCACATCACTTCCTGTCCCTTTGACACCATTGTAACAGTAAGTAATGGCAAAACCTCCTCAGCTTACCCAAAACTGCAAAAAAAGTTTTGGGCTGGTGTTGGATTTTAAGTTCTCAGGCAATGAACGGTGTTAAACGGGCCATACTCTTTGCGATTATCATTAGATTTTTTTTGTGCCATCATCGAACCCTCGTTCGATTTCCGCTCGAATTCCCCACCATGCACAGACCAATGTAATTTCGATAATCGTTCATCGGTAATACTAACTCACGGATTTTCGACGATTGACGGAATGGATTTTCGTTTGCGCATGTGCAGTGTTCATATTTTTTGTGTATGAAAACACCACTAATCCATCGATTTGCGTACGGTTCGAACATTGTTTTCTAGCCTCACCCTTCGAGAAAATTCAGCAAGGAATGCAGGAAAAAAAATCATTGCGTCCCCATCAACTGATCGATTATTGTACGAAAGACCATTCGTGGACGATTTCCGAACGATAATCAATAGGTGTATGGGCACCTTTAGAGTATACATTGGGGGAAGGGGGTTATATTGTCATTGATACTACTTAGAGTTTCATTTATAATAGTTTCCCCCAGTGTAACTTTGTGGTGAAACAGGTTTTGTCAAGCCCTACAAGAGACAGCATAATTGTACCATAATCGCTAAGTAATATCCATTTAGAAAACAAACAAAATTTTATTGATGCAAAATACCAAGTCCCACTTCAATTGCCAGCATTGCATATTGACAAAATCTACTACTTGATTCTACTACTTTAGTCTATAACCTCCTCACTTTCTGTGATGTATACATTAATCTGTATTACTTTATGTGATTAATAACCATAGTCCTCTTTTTGTGCAATCTTGGAATGACATTTGATTCAAGAACCTGGCTAGTTATGCATTTCACTGCACTGACATGTCAGTCTGGTAAAGATGAGTCTATCAGACATGTCCTGCCTGTCAGTATTGATAAGGTGAATGAATCCTATGACCTTCACAGACCTTTGCTTTTGAGAAGCTAGTATACAAATCTTTAAGGTCAACAAATTATTGAGAGAAACCATAAATTGGAAATGAAACAGAGAACAAAATAATGAGTCACAATGTTTAGAGAAGTGTTATATATACTGATAAATGTGTGTCCATTGCTGCCGTATAGCTTTCTATGGATTTGCTGGATCTCTACACAAAAGCAAGTAGAGATCTGCCTTTCCTCATTTAATATAGGATCCTGCCAGGCGAGGGGGAACTTTTCTCACCAACTTGGTGATGATTATCTGTGAAGTATAGAGGAAAGGGAATGATTGCTTATTCTTGCAAAGATTTTCCAGCGTGTTAGGAAATTTCTCTAAGCAATCACAGAATGTGTACAGTACATGGTTTTCAACTCTGTGCCTGTTATTGAACTTTTCAAAAGGGAAATCTGGCAATGTAAAAGCTGCATTCTTGGTTTCCTTCTGCCCACTTCTTGTCCTTGGTTGTAAAAGTGTTAACTGTATCTTACTCTTACACTTTTACATTGCTTCTAATCAGCACTATCTTTTTACTTCACAGCCTGAAAATTCCTTCTAGTTAGATTCAGTATTTCCTTTGTAACGCAGGAGTGGTTGTTTTGAGATAAGAGATTACAGAGGGAGCACAAAAATCATTTGGCTGAGTTAATTGGAGGGCAGAAGTCTTGTTTGTGTTGTGGGTTGTTTGCTGTATTTTTCTGCCACAGACAATATATGTGATGTCTCAGTGTCATCAATAAAATGCTCTTAGCGGCATGCCCTCATTCAGCGCTCTTTTAACAATAAGAGCCCTTTCACTGGTGGGCCTGGTGTTAATTCCCACTGCTATCAAGGTCAAAGGATATTTATTTATTTAGGTCTAACTTCTAAAAATGTCTGCAGGGTAGGAATAACTATCCACAAGAAATCAATTAGGATTCCAAACTTACAGAGAAATGTGAGCAGCTTGTCTGCTTAGCAGAACAGCATGGGGCCTTGCTGATCAGGCGTTCAGTGCCAGGAAAGTACCATGCAGTTCATAGTAATTAATTACTCTGGAGGGAATTGCAGAACACGGACATAATAGAGAGAGAGATGGCAATGTAGAAAGCAAGTGGGAGGAGACGAGGCTGATCTAGTAAATGGTGCCTGATACATTACTATTACTAATGAATGCCACCGCCAAACACAATATCATCCCACCAATGTCTATAAATAAACCTGTAAGCGCTGTGCAGGTTATGAAATATGATGGCATAGATTTATGCCCAGGAAACATTACACCTTCAGTTTAAGAGAGAGCAAGCCACGTAATGCAGTCACTAAATTACAAACATTTCATAGATTTATAGAACCAATGCACATAAATTTTGAATATATTTTTATGCTGTAAAGGTGGATTTTGTACTGTATGTGTGAAACATATATAATGTTAGTCTTAAGCTAACTGATCTGCACTATCGGTATGAGCATCCCAAGAGGTAATCACTCAGTGTAGGTGTTATTTATGTTATTCATTTAAGGGGCACCCATATATTCTACAGTACTTCTTAGTCTGTAATATCAATTTTAATAAACAGTTAAGGTTAATTTGGGTTAACTTTCTGGTGTTACTCATGCTCATCTTTTTTATTTACAATATGACTTTTTGTGGTTTGTTCTTGATGTTCACACAAGAATAACATACAAATCTACATGAATGGGCTTCTTTCTGTGTAACTTGTTTTTGTTTTACTAATTTATATAGCACTGACACTTTTCCATAGTGATCTACAGATGATATACAGAAACCGATTCTGTTTCTGAATCAATTGCATTCATTTTAATTAAGATAAGCACAAACTGATTAAAGTATGTACAAATACTAATCTCTTTCTTTCTGTAGGCAAATAGAGAGGGTGAATCTCCCCAGCAGAGACAACAACATCAATAAAAATTTGATAGGATTGTTAAAGTGACACAAAACTCAGGAGTTAAATCTTGAAAATGCATTCAAGTACCTTAACTATTAACAAAAATGTATCTTATTTGTGTACCACTCAAATCATCTCTGAAGTCATGCTGACACTGTTCTTCCTTTTGGAGGATGGCTACTTTTGTTCCCAACCACACCAAGCTCACTCCCATGATGGGCTAAATACAAATTAGTAAACTAAACATGAGATTGTAGTCCATCACGGAAGTGAGCTTGGAGTGGTGGCTGATGATACACAAATAAGATACATTATTGTTAATAGTTAAGCAACTTGAATGCATTTTCAAGATTTAACTCCTGAGTTTAGTGTCACTTTAACTCTTCCCACTTTTTGTTTTGACTTTAGATTTTAACTCTCCACTATGTTTTTGGATTTCTGGTGGAATGCCTAGGGACACCCATTCAAACATGGCCACTCATCTATGCAGATAGGGTACAAGGACTCCAACACTACAAAAGTTGTATGAAACTACCAGTTATCAAATGATCTTAAAGTGATATTAAAGTCAAAAGGTTGTTAAGCTATTTATAATGCTGATTAAATCAGTTACAACAGATGCTGCTCCTTAGTTAGTTTCCTGCAGAATCAGCTGCTCCCCTCAGCACTGGCCCTGATATCCAGTTCTGGGGTGGCTATTTTCCATTGCAGGGTCCTATGGAGCCACCCTTGTGTGTTCTAGTAAGCTGTGCATGTTTCCATAAACACACTGGCACAGCAGGGTAAGTCTCTCCCCTGCTCCCTTCTCCTCCCATCTCTAAACTAGTAGATGGATGGCTTCTGGGGATTTTGCTGTCCTTTGTAACCTTGTACTGGACGGAAAGTTCAGGGAAGCCGGGCTAAGAGAGTTGAAGGCAGCTGTTTGGAAACATGATGACTGTAAGTGTTTGGGCAGAAAAGTTAAAGAAATGCTCTGATGAGCAATGTATATTTGATTGCTGTGGATTCATTATTGAAAACATTTTGAGTTTAATACTACTTTAAGCTCCCAAAAGAAAATAAATTTTGTGGTCCTAGTGGCAATGTTGGTTTCTGGGATCCAGCATTACTGTCTCTAGACATGAGCCCCATTACTACCCATTTAAAATACAGTTGTAAAGTTGTAAAACAAAAGTCTTACAAAGCAATACTGGGAACAAAAACATATTTCATTTAGTAATAGTAATGACTGTCGGGTAATTTTGAAATATTACAAATTAATACATTTTTATTGCACCTTTTTTTTCAAATAATCTGATTTAAGATCCTGTTGGCATTAGATGAATTTTGGCTGTTATATGATCATAAATATGTTTTTAGGATTGGGCCAAGAATTAGACATCTATGATCTAGCATATAGACATGCCCAGTCAAAGCACCTTGTGTTAAAAGTAATATCCGGGATGGATTTTTTGGTTTTACTACTGGTGTTAGTACTGGTCAACTGACATGACATGAGATTGTGAATGTTGTATGCATATTTATGTCTATGCTAAAAATGGAACACAAAAAATGAACCCATACCATCGAAAACGGTAAATATAATGCCTCTGTTGCTTTGGTGTAAATTATTTTTTTTTTCTCTGTGCTTTTTCATAGTTACACAATCTAGAGGGGTCCTTGAAAACTTCCAGAGGTTTTCAGCACCATCAACATATCTACCTGTAAACTATCGAATAACAACAGCAGAAACTGCCTTTCTCATGAAGGAGAACAACCAGGATTTTATTAGGAATTCTAGCTTGCAATCAAGAGTAGAGTCTTTCTTCATTCATAAATCGAGAAGAACTCCAATCCTGAATGCTAGCTATGGACCTTTTTTTGCTGAGCGTGACATTTCAGAAGACCTTCTGTTGTCCTCTCGGGTATTTGCATCCAACAAGTTTACTTTCAACTGGAAACTGAAAACGTATCTAATTAATGATAAGGTATACCCCAACAAACCAAAAGTACAAGTTCTATTCTATATTGCTGGTAGAGACTGGGATGATTATAGTGACACAGAAAGGCTTCCATGTCTAAAGTTGTTTGCCTTTCGAGAAACCAGGGAGGCAAAAGGGAGCTGCAGGTTGCAAGGAATTCTGGGATTATGTGTAGCAGAACTTGAATTCCAGCCCTCCTGGTTTACTTCACTCCCTGTTGTTACAGGCCGTAAGAGAAACCCAGAGCAGTCTGATGGTATACCTGTGGAGCTTTACTATAGCATACATTCAGAAGATGAGAAAGCAGAGTGCACAGCTGAGGAAGCAAGAAAGGGGAATTCCATCCGCCCCGGTAGAGACCAAGGGGAAGATTCCATTTCTCACTTGCAGAGGATTGCTACTATAACGATATATCGTAACCCAGAAAATTCTCAGCTTACAGAGCTCAGGTTGGACAGCAATGTTGCTCTCTGGTTACCATCAAAACCTACCAAACAAGGGGAAGTCTTGCATGTATATGTCACAGTTGCTAACAATTCAACACTGGATCAGTTTACACTAAGGTATAGTAGCTTTATTTTTTATTAATTTATAAAACACAATTTGTTTGGTGGAAATGTTTATACAGTGCCATGCAACTAGTGATAACCATTACATCAATCCTATGTTGGCTTACCAACTTCTGTGCCACTGGTAAAATATATTGCTTGTTTCTGTAAAGAAGGGACTATGGCTTATCTTTCTTTGCTCATACAGAGGCCATATATAATTGCATCAGTTGTGCAAAACTTTGGTTACATAGTGATTGCTTATCAGCAAGGCTGTGGGCAGAAAGGTTTCAGTGGGAGATTTTACTGCTGTACTCTTGGCAACATTTTCCATAAATATAAAAAACCTACTCGCTCCCTTAGACCATATGCAATATTCTTTATCATTGTTAGCTAGAATGGCCTTTCATACCTTTACATAAAATAAATGTGTGTTTTGATGTTCTGACATTTCAAGTAAAGTTCTAATTTCCCTCTATCATCATATTGCATTTTCTGATTTCAAATGGTTTTAATCAGCCATACAAATTCCTGATTATAGCATGCATTTATGCTGATAACAGAATTGGACTTTTCTGAAACACATCGATAAACTGATATTATTCATTCTATTGTATGGCAGAATTATATGGCAGAATAATTTTTTTTGTGGTGGCATACATATATCCTTTCATAAATAATCGGTCAGTAACTGAGTTGGTCACAGAGTGAGCTTTCCTGCTCAATCCTCTCTCAATCTTCTGTGAGTCTCACGGAGTAGAAGCTATTTTGTTAATTATGATTAGGGATGGGCCGAGTGTTTGATTCGAACATGAGTTTGAAGGAGAAAGTTCTCCTTTCTCCTTCAGGTCCCCCCATGCTGATTGACAGCAGGCAGTGGGCGGGTGCAATAGCCAGCTTGCTATTGGCTATTGCATTTTACAATATCCAATAGCAGGCTGGCTATGGGTCCCAGCCTGCAATGAAGAGGAGGCATGGGGCGGGACAGAGGTGCCGCGGCCGGACGGGGGAACAGAAAAGCCGACGGACCAGGGAAGACAGCAGCAGAGGTACAGGGGCAGCGGAACAATGCAGCGGTCTGTGTCCCCGCAGCCTCCTCCAACACATGCGGGGAGAACAGCATGGATTTGAAGGGACACTTGCCGCTGCAGCCACAGGTACCAGCAGCTGTATGGGGGTTGAACATTCGACCCCCATACACTTGCATTGAGTTTGAGTTCATACTTGAACATTTCGGCGGTTCAAATGTTCGAATATGAACCGAACACGGGGGTGTTCGGCTCATCCCTAATTTATGATGACTATGATAGTGATGATAGGTCCTTTGCACATTAATTTATACACTTTGTTGAAGGTGGTTTAAACTTTTTTTATTTGAATTCATATGCATAGTTGCCATTTGCCTTTAGTGTTAACAAAAAGTTCCACTGTAATTTGTCTCTAAATATTTTACTGCAATTTATCTCTAAAACATTTGATAATTTGTAGATTAATTGATAACTACTGTTTGCAATTAACAAATAATTACCTTATTAATAACTAAATTCAGTACATGTGTTGACATGTCTTGTTTAATATACCAAGGTTTGAGAGGCAAAACTGCACTTCGAGAAACTAGTTTAATAGTGCAATCAGAGGCATAACTAGAACCTTAAGGGCCCAGGTGCAGGAAACCATTAAGGCCCACCCCCCCAACCGCCATGGCACCGCATGGTTAACAGGAAGGCTGTCAAGGTCCCCAGCAAGCGCGTGGCCTCGGGCAGCCGCCTGTTTAAAATTTTAGTGCATTGTTCTGTCGAGAACGCTAACCCAGTATCTGCGCTTGCGTACAGACGGGATTAACGAGAAAACTGGCATTTATTTACAAATTATTCGTTTTTAATGGTTAATTGTGACCGTTAATAATATACCGTCCACGGCAGTGAATGATGGATGGAATATTATTAACGGTCACAATTAACAATTTAAACAAAATACTTTGGGAATAAATCCCGGTTCCCTCAATAATACCGGTCTGTGTGTAAGCGCAAATGCTGAGGTCGGCAAATTCGACTACATCGGCGTTCTCGACAGAACACTGGTATCTGCATTTAGTATTTTATGTGAAAATGCCCAGTATTGGCACTGGTGTATCCCTACTTAAAAATATAATGCATTGCTGGGACTTGTAGTCCTACATAGTTGGAGCTATTCTGCATTACTGTATCATCATCATACATCAATGCAGAATACCAGCAGCTATGCGGGACTACAAATCCCAGCAATACATTATAATAGAAGTCAGCACTACAGAATCCCACTACTGCTGCTGGCGGCTGCGCGGCAGGGAAGGAGCTGTACTCTCTCGGGGGGGCTCTCTTCTGCCTCGCTGCCCCCCCCCAGTGGCGGAACGCCAGTGCCCGGTTGCAATTGCGACCGTTGTGACCCTGATAGTTCCGCCAGTGGGTGCAATATCTCTAGATGTTTTTTTTTTTTTTTTTAGTAAAACTATGAATTTTTAAGCACATGATAAAAATGTTTGCATTGGAAAAAATCAGATAATTATGAGAAACAATAATTCCCTAGCTTTCTTTATTTCCTTGAATTGCTTAATAATGCAATGAATATCCCTAGATGTTTTTTTTTTTTTTTTTTAGTAAAACTATGCATTTTTAAGCACATGATAAAAATGTTTGCATTGGCAAAAATCAGATAATTATGAGAAACAATAATTCCCTAGCTTTCTTTATTTCCTTGAATTGCTTAATAATGCAATGAAGGTCAAACAAGCAATTAAACAAAAGACAAAGTAGAGGTAGACATTAATACAACACTGGAAGGGTAGATTGCTAAAATGTTCTAATAGATAAAAGTTTGCACTAAGCAACAGTGAATCCAAACCTTGTTTTGTTTTCTCCCTTGCTAGCTGTTTTTTTTTTAACTGTTTTTGTTAAACGGTTTTCAAGAAGGAATACAGAGAAAATTCCCCAAAAATACAAACCATTCACAGATAAAGGATAGTGTCCATAGTAATACTATAACCCAATAAATTAGAACAGATAGACAATAAAGATATACTTATTATTCACTATTCCCAAGTACCGCAAGAAATAAGCATGGGTTCAAGAAGTCCATTCTATAATTACCTTACCTAGGTAAAGAAATACTAACGTCCTAAAGATGAATATAATATAGACAGCACAATGGTGTAGTGGTTAGCATTCTGCCTTGCAGCAGCAAGGAGTTTGCATGTTCTCCCTGTGCGTGTGTGGGTTTCCTCTGTGTACTCCGGTTTCCTCCCACACTCCAAAGACATGCTGGAAGGTTAATTGGCTCCTTTTTAAATTGGCCCTCATAGGTATGCATGTGAGATCGGGACCTTAGACTGTAAGCTCTTTGAGGTCAGGGATTGATGTGAATGTGCATCTATGTAAAGTGCTGCCTAAGTTGTCAGTGCTATATAAATGCCAGTAATAAATAATACAACCATAATCTTAATAAACAACATACAAAGGAATATATAATAACATTATATATATATAATAATCAAGTATAAAAAGTTACATATTAAAGAATAAAGAAAAGCAAGTAGAAAAGAAGATAGGGTTAACCTTTTAAGGGACAATTTAACCAAGTTCTAGAAGTTTTGCAATTGTTGGCAGGTCCATAAAACATGGAAAAGAGAACCCAGGTGTTAACCACACCACCAACAATGAGAACGAATTGTAAAGTTAAATGAATGTAAGAGTTGAGGAGTATGATACCAATAATGTAAAATCTTATAAAGATTTTCTTTATAAAAAGAGCAAATTGAGGTGGCAGGAGTTTTCCAAATTGCCTTCCACTGTTCAGCGGATAATTCTGTTCCTAAACTTACTTCCCATTTGGACATGTCTGGGTGTCTAACAAAGGTCTCTTGAAAAGGGTTAAGTAAAATGTGATATATAGTTGATATCAGGCCTTTGGACGAATGAGAAGTAGAGCAGAGAAATTTAAAAGGTGTACATTTATCCCCCCTTGATAGCTATAAAGTAATACTAAATGCAAGACATTTTAACATTAATGCATTTACAGCATTAAGGTAAAATATGCCCCAGTGGATTTACTGTACGTGTCCCAGTGTCTACCATGTGCTCAAATTTACTATGTTTTACAAATGAAAAGTGCCGCGCTACAGTTCAAATGCCAAAGATCAATAAGTGCACAAAAGGGATTTTTTTCAGTGTATGCAATATGTACAACAGTAACCAGTGGATTGTGACAATCATGCCAGGTATCCAAAAAACAACTCTAAAGCTGTCTCAAGGAAGTCTAATTATGTGCAGGTCCTTTTTAAGAAACAATGATGTATATAATTCTCTTGCAGCACGCGTGGTAAACAGGATTATGTGCAATGACTTTGCAAGTTGTATGTCCACCACCGGATAACCAGACACCTCATGTATCCCAAATGGAATGCAGCTCACCCTCATGCAGGGTTTGAGAGCGCTGTTTCCCCTTTGATGAGGTGGGGATCTACTCCCTGTAGATTCCACTATCCAGAGCGCTCTCCTTTTTCTTGTCCCTCCAACAGTGTCCACACAGCACAGCATTAATATCTTGTGATCGTTCAAAAATACAAGGGGATAAAAAGCATAGTGCTCACTGTATTTTGCAAAAGGGGTGTCTGACACACCCCTGATGAAGTCATTATGATTAACACGCATAGGGTGGGACTGCTGACGCAGAGAGGTAGAAGCAGCTTCCTAGTAATGCCGAGGTTTGCAGGACTGGACTTTTAGCTGCTTCAATCCTTGGGTTCCAATCCTTGTTATTCAGTCAGATTTTACTAACTGTTCACGTTAGTAGCTTTTTAATAAAGAGATCTTTTGCAAAACACAGTGAACTCTATAGTCTTTATCCCCTTGTATTTTTGACCGATCACAACATTAACACTGTGCTGTGAGGACACTGTTGGAGGAACAAGAAAAAAGAGAAAGCTCTGGATAGTGGAATCCACTGAGGGTAGATCAGGTTATATTTTTATCTGCAGTTAG